TCGTGCGTTATATAGTATGAACAGACAGCAGCGACCGAAACTCTGACGAAGACGTCAGAGTTTCGGTCGTTCATCACACATCATCATCACACGAATATAAGAATATACTCTCATAGTTACTCACATCTTAAACCAAACATTCCTTTCCTTTCTTTCGCGGTATAGTCGGCGAATTGGTTAATACCGAAAGTGGCGCTTGTGCTCTCCTCGTTCAACCTATTGATCGTCTTCAAGCTCTTGACAAACGCTTTGAAATGCACTTGTTTATCATTTTCGTCCTTGTACTGCTTTTGGTAGTCCTTTATGTATTATTCGAAGATTTCATCAGCCTTTTCTACGTCGTAATGCTCCTTTTGGGGAGGACTGTCAGTGGGCGTCGAGCTCGCCATTGCGACCACCACGAGAATCAACACGACACTGACGGAACGCATCGCTATCGTGACCGGGAACTTGTTTCTTCTATAAAGTTGCAATGTACTGCGTGCTCACACTCGATTACTATGTCACTTATATACTCGAGTAGTCGCTTGATGACTAAATTATTATCTCATAGTTGACGTTAGTGACCACAACCTTTTTAAAAAATAATTAACAGTGCAATTTACGAATTCCTAAAAATGGTAACTTTCAGTGTTGATAATAAAACACCAGTTTGTGCCTTATTTATGGACTTAACCAAAGCCTTTGACTATGTTGATCATGACATATTAAAACATAAACTCTATGCCTATGGGATTAGGGGTAATGCTCTAAGTCTTATAACGTCGTATCTAAGTAACAGGAAACAAGCCACTGTGATAACAAAATTCGATTGGATTACAAAAAAAGAAGTTGAATTTATTTCGGGCTATAGAGAATTGACGTATGGTGTACCCCAGGGAAGTGTCTTTCCAAACGCTATGAATTTTCCAATGATTCTTTTCGCAGACGACAGCACCGCCGTATTTTCTAATAAAAAATATACATTACTTGAGGGCGAAGTAAATTCTGCACTAAATTCTATTGTCAATTGGCTTACATCTAATAATCTTTTAATAAATTTGGAAAAAACTAACCTAATGATATTCAGAAATAAAGCTGTACCATCTTCAGATTTACATATCAAATACTTAACAAAGACAATTAGTGAAGTTAAAGTAGCAAAGTTTTTGGGATTAATGGTCGATCACATTTTAAATTGGAAAGCACATGTAGAAAATGTGTGTGGCAGGTTGAATACGTTCTCATACATGCTATACATGCTTCGTAAAACTGTGGCTGTGCCAACCGCTGTGACTGCCTGTCATGCTTACGTATCATCTACGTTAAGATATGGCATAATTTTTTGAGGCAACTCAACCGAATGTGAGGCCGCATTTAAGTGTCAAAAAAAGTGTATACGAGCAATATGCAAAATAAAGGTAACGGATAGTTTAGATTTCAGAAATTGGGAACCTCAACTTGTTTAAACTAAAATTAAAAGAATTTCTTAATGACAAAGTGTACTACACTGTAAAAGATTATCTTGAGGGGAATCCTTATGGTCAATAATTAATTTAATTTATTTGACATTGCTTGTGTGACATTCTATAATATAATTGACAATTACTTTTTTACATTATATATCTAATTTGACATTAATTTTTTGACTTCAGTGGTATGAATAATTATAATTTCTTTGACATTATTGTATTCTAACAACATTACAAATAATTCAATTCAATGGACCTAATTTTATAATGTAATTATTTTTATAACATATCTTTGCATGCCAAGTTAAGGCAAAATATGGAGAAACTATAAACTTTGTTAACACCTATATATTATGTACCCATGTTTGCAAATGATTAAATGAATATGAATATGAATACCTTTTGTTTTTTTTTTTGTTGTTTTTTTGGTTGTGGTAAAGCGTATAAATTAAATTAGGCGTGTTTGCGGCCAATCAGATGAATGAATATTAAGGGGACTCCGTTTTTTATCTATCTGTCTGTAGTGTTGTTTGAATTATATATATAAAAAAATCTCTATATATATACAGAGATTTCAAGATGCGAGTTGTCATTCGAGGTGTAGAACTAAGTGGGGGACCTTTGTTCTTAATCGATAATTGAGTATACATTCTGCAACTCAAACACGTAAGCCCTTATTGTAAATTAAAAATGTAAACTGCAAGTTTTTTCCTCTATAACATATTTCTGCTCAGTAATCTAGTCGATAGAACATCACACGAATATTTACTTCATGGAGCGCCTGATATATTTAATTAGCAAACTGTTGCACGTTTCATACTCTGTGATAGCATACTTCGGTAAGATTCGAAAACGCTAATTAAAAAAAAAATAGCGTGAACCATGTAATTCTGTAACATACCTACCAAATCGATGTCGAAGTTCACATTTAAGCAAAACAAACACACTTGAATTACGTACAT